CATGCTTAGGCAGCTGGAAGAAAGGCTCAGCTCTGTGGAACGGGGCGCGTTGCCTTACCAGTCGCACCCTGTCCCCGCGTCTGCCGGATAAGTGGATGAGGAATAGCAGAGTCCCTGCGCACCTTTGGAAGGAAGCGGGTGATGTGCCTTCCGACAGCGTTTCTTTTTTATTTTTGTTTTTTTTCCTCCTGCCTGTTGGGTCTGCATTTGTTTGTTTTGTTCTTTTTTTTCTTTTAAATCCATCACTCAGCGCTCCTTGTAGGAACTCTCAATAAAGACGCGGATGGGCTGCCGGCACGGCGCTTCGCGGAGAGCCTCACCCGCACCTTGCAGGGCTCCTTCGCAGCCGGGTGAGAGAGCTTAATGGGACGAAGCGCTGGCGACAGAGGCAGAACCTCCCCGCCAGCTTCTGCCAACGGGGGACCTTTCGCACACGTCCTTCCTCCGGCAGGACCAGGCAGACGTTTTTGCGATGCGGAGGTTCGAGTGAGCTTGTGATCACTGGTGCGCAGCGGCGCAGGCAGAGCGAGAACCGGGCGTTCGGGGTTTCGCTGTCACAGCAGCTGAGAGCCAAATCGGACCCAAACCGCTTGGATTGGATAGGATAACTTACAGACCTCGTACAGTCATCCGTACAGCAGATGATATTGGAAAGTAAAGGTCAGAGAATTGATGGTAAGGCTTAAGAAAACAGCAATTAGGCTGCCAGGAAAAAAAGCTAAATTACCAGTAGTAGGAGTAGGAAAAAAAAATAGAGGATTATTGATCTAAATATCAAGTTGGCAGATACACAGAGTACAATCTAGAGGTTTTTTACACCTCTGGGCTTATTCAACCCCTACAATAAAAAATGCAGGCCTATAAAGATGGAATAAGAAGCAATCAATTAGGATGGCATTTGCGTGTTTCTGCGCTGCAGCTGGGCAGGCACGTCACAATTAATGATTTATTACGAGATTTTTGCCTTTTTTTTTTCCATTTACACAGATTGCTGCAACCAGACTGCAGTTGTTTATTAATTTGCTCACTATTCAGCCGTCTTTGTTAAATATTGTGTGGAAAAGGTAAACATTTGGCACGCATGCCAACGCTTCTTTGGGAGTATGCCCTTAAGCGTGGAAAAGCTGCGATTTGATATTCAGGCTGTGTATCTGGCTCACGTGGTTTACATGGGCAAATGCAGCCCCGGCGTGCGGCGCTGGGCGTCCTGACAGCACATTGCACCGTGTCCAGAGCTTGGATCCCCACGTCGTGGGGTGGCCCTGCAGCAGAAAGCGGGGCACACGTGCGCTCAGTCACTTGCTTGCACTCCCGTTTCTCCCTACCTACGGGACCTAGAGTGAAAACAGTGCTTTGCCGCAATCATCGCTGCTCAGGGTCCAATACGAGAGCTAAGATGCCCTTATGCTCCTGAGGAAATCCATACGTCTTGGTCACGAGGTACTCTGTTTGTCTAGGTAATCCAGCCTTTATAAGCTGCTTCTGCCTGTAACAAATTTTGCATCATCATCAGTAAATCTTAGAGATACAGCGCCAAAAATCTTCCTTGCAAACATTCGCGCAAACAAGCCTTTGCTTTCATAGCTATTTATGTAAAAGAGCTAGAAAAAGTAGGAACACCGGAAAAAAAGGAATTCCCTTTAGAAGTAAGCCTGAATAATTATCTTTGTATTCATCCTTCTGGATTCGGCACCTCCTTAGGAGCGGCTGCAGTGGGCTGATTGGTGCTACTCTGCTGTGCGTGGCTCTAGACCTATGGCACAATGTAAAGGCACTGTGTGAATTCATCATTTGTCCCCCCACATCAATGCCTTTTGCTTTCTGAGTGATACTTGTGCGCATGCTTATATGCTGTCAGGTGGCGAGTGAGACAAACGACAGACGCTGGAATTAAATGATTTTAGTGTAATGATGTGATGCATCCTGAAAATCCGAATGAATTATTATTATTACGTGGAATGAGAGAAGCGCTTTCACCCGCATGCTGTTATGGGGAGGGGAAGGAAAAAGACCCTTCAGGATTTAAGAATTTAAGAGCACGGCAGGTTCGGAACAAGTGCTGATCTCAAAAAGGAAACGGAGTGTGCGACAATCAACCGCAGAACTACTTGTGAATGGTCTGAAAAAAGCACTCTGGGAATTAAGGATTTCAAATGCAACAATTGAAAGCGAAGTGAAATGAATTACAGAGGAATACGAGTAAATGCTACAAGTATAGGTCAAGCACTGCTTTATCAATCTTCTGTTTACTCTAGCAGCTCCTCCACTGCCCATTGTTTTACCTTGTTTGAATAGATAATGCTTCTTTTTATTTGAAAATCAATTGTAATCTTATGAAAGAAAACTTACAGCGTGGGGAATGCTGTAAAGCAGCATGGTAAAAGATGGCACTGTTCATTATCCTAAATTACTTCAGGGTAGGGAGGGAATGACAGTAAAGAAGTATGGATAGCTTTGAGCTGCCGTCCTTCCTTTAGCAGATGTAATTTAATGTCATTACTTAATTTTGTTAAGGTAAAGACAACTGTGGACAATGCATGTTACAGCATCCACTTAATTTGAGTGATACTGGGGGAGTGTTTGAAGGAAAGCTGGGCCAGGGTTTGGATTCCCAGTAGCTGCTGATCCGTAGCTGATAAAAGTTATTCCGTTCTTCATGGTGTGTCTCTCGAGATTTGCTTCTTAGCAAGCACGTCTTTGTATAGGTCCTTTGATTTCTGTGTAGCTATTCTCTTCTCATCAGATAAATATTTGGCTTTACAAGCATAATAGACAATATGCACTGACGGCCCTCAGTGCTGTGTAGGGCTGATAGTTTCCTAATTATGCCTGGTGGGCAGCAGCAGCAACCCAAGGAGCTCCTGGCTTGTTCGGTGTGTGCACAGCTCTGTGATTTTTACCCTAATGGAAAACCTTTATAGAGGGTTACGGTCATCTGCTAGGCTTTATAATTGAGATGTGCTTGTATATTTATAATTTTTAATATACCTCATATTTCTAAAATAGGCTTTGTACTAAACTTTACTGGTGCGGGCCAAAACCCCAAAAAGGATCTTCTAATGGCTTTTAGAACAGTCGCTGTAAAACTCCCTAGGCCTCACCTTTGCGACCCTGGGTAGGATTTCCCGTGGAACCTGAACTCCTTGGCAGCGCTGGGGTCATGATCCACAAAAGTGTTCAGCAGCCTGTAGGACTAGCCCTCTTAAGTGTCTTAAATACAGCTGGTGACTTGTTCTGAAGGAGTTAAATCTGTTTGGTTCTGCAAGAGATAAGTCTAATGAAATTAGAAAAAATTCTGTGGCCCTAGTCAAAATTTGAAATAGTTGCAAAACATGCTTAGCTCCTTTGAAATTACAGCAAATATGGTACGTAGTTGTTAGCAGTGCAGTCAGTCATCTCTTAAAAGAAACTGGGGGCCCATCAACTTGTCATCGCTGGCATGCCATACAGAATTAATCTAATCTAATGGGCGGTAACTCGTGTGGATTTATTAAGAGACGATCCTGCTTAACTAATCTCCTTGAGTTCTTTTGAGCAGGTTTCAGACAACATTGATAATAGGAGGGTACACATGACATAATCTAATGGGTTTTTCAAAAGGCTTCTGACAAATTCCTCTGCGATATTTCCCCTGCTTAAGCTGTATGCTGCCGACATCCCAATTTGGGCAAGAGGCTGGGTAAAGAACCAGTGAATTCATGGGAAATAAAGAGAAGAAGAGCTGTAGCGTGTACTGCAACTAGAATCATCTAGCAGCTTCCCACTGCTCTTCCGCACCACTCAGCACGGCTAGAGAGAGATGCCATCTGCATTCACTAATGAAAAGTTGTTTAGGACAGGTGCATAACAGAAAAGAGGGCAAAATGCCATTAAAGGTACCACTAAAGGGCAAATTTAAATTTACACTAGCATAAGGCAGATAAGTATTTTTGCTGCCGGCAGTGAAATAATATATACTGCATGTAGACACACAAGACTGAAAGACTCCAATGAATGGATATTGGTTAGTACTGGAAAGGGACTTTTGAGCTAACAAAGGAATGATTTATTATCATTTACATAACCTGGCATTTGTGCACACCAAAGGCCAGATTTTCAAAAGTGCTCTGCGCCTGCAGTCGGGGCCAGGATTTCAGTTGCAGACGCAGAGCCAGCCGCTCCCATCATTTCTCCAGTGTTTAATTTGCCATATGTCAATCAGAGTGTTGATTTGCAAGTGCCAGTAATAGGTGATGCTGTGAGCCGAACGCTATTGAAAATTTGGGAATGTGTCTTACTGGCAGCTTTTGAGCCCCAAACGCTGGATATATGTGCCAGCCAGGATCCCTGATCAGTCGCGTGATAAATCAAGGACTTGAAAGCAGAAAAGAATACAGATAATGCATCAGAATATGCCTAAACTGGACATGCGCCACGAAAATCAATGCTAAATGATAGAATTAAGCACCAGGAAAGGCTGTGGCAAAATCACAAGAAACACTTTACATAATGAGGCAAAATCAAATCAAAGGCAAGAAGAGGAAAGAAAATGGAATAAAATCACTGAAGAAGCAATAAAATACCATCACTGAAATCTGAACGAGACAAAATATCCTGTGTTAAAGGGGCAGAGCCATCAGAAAGATGCATGTTTTAGTGTGCCGTTTTTTCCCCGCTCTTGACAATTAACGCTTAAGAGAGTATGAGAAACATTTTTGGTTTGTTTGCCTTGTGTGTTTGGCGAAGTGTGAGCTGTGGCTGGCTGGTAGCTGGTTAGTTCTTGTTTGGGCTGAGAGCTGAGAGCTGAGAGTAGGCATCAAAAGGAGTGAAAAAATATTCAAAGCAAAAACCCGATACGTAAATCCAGAAGTAAGAAAGGGGCATATGTCGCTGCACACACCCCGTGGTCCTGTTTGCTGGACTGCTTTCCATATTGCTGTGCCACTTTTTGGGAGCGGGGCCGTGGCTGGGAGGACCGCCTGAACGCTCCCACCGTGACAGCTCCCATCTTTTGTTTGCAGTATTCGGGTGAAGTTCCTGAAAACAGAGTGGAAGTTGTCGTAGCAAATTTGACGGTGATGGACCGGGACCAGCCTCACTCACCCAACTGGAACGCCATCTACCGCATCATCAGCGGGGACCCCTCCGGCCATTTCACCATTCGGACAGACCCCGTCACCAATGAAGGCATGGTAACTGTTGTGAAGGTAAGTGGGAAGCCAAGGCAGATCCGTGTTTGTCACCGTTCACGCTAGCTAAGTCCACAAGAATGGTCAGAAGGCTGCAAGTATTTTATATCATCTTCCCTCCGTGGAAGTGCGAGTGCTCGACTCCCCATCTATTTTCCCGTAGCTTGCTGTGTAGCGTCCTGCATACTTCTACTTCAAGCTTATGCCACTGATTCTGGGTTTCCCAGCTACTCATTGCTCAGCCCGCTGTAAGCTCTTACGAACTCTCACGTGCTGCAGGCAGTTCCCAGCATCCGAGCCTGTTCCTGCTTAGCCTTCTGCGCCCTTTAAGTGGGACCGGAGATGGGCTGTACAGTCCTGCCCCGTCTGGCAGGTGTAGGACCTTGGAATCTTGAACCCTCAAGGTGTTTGCAACGGGTCTCAAACTCCCTTCCCCTTCCTGCCTCCAAAGAGCGTGATTTTATCTTCGTATGAGAGTTCGCTTCCCATTCGGTTACCCAAGGCCAGCAACGCAGGCAGTGAGTGCTGCTGCAGTAATTACATGCAGTCAGAGCATAACTGAATTCATTCAACATTCAGTGAGTCCCTTCCCAGATAAGATCCCTATGGATGTTCCCACTGACTACCAAGAAAGTGAAGGAATCATGAATAGGCTGCTGTGAGCCGTAGGAGCTTGTGCTGCACGCACTGTGCGCTGCACCTGAAAAGAACAATACCCTGGGAAGAACAAAGGCTGTGTATCTTTTGAAAAGTCTGACCTTCTCTAAGAAAAAGTTTTAATCAACTACTCAGGATGAAATGCTAAACGTTTAAAGAGCAATGTGATTAAAGAAAGCTCTGTGGAAAAAAAGAACCTCACTCCCTTGTAGCTAATAAGTTGCAGTCATTCTTAATACATACCGATCGGTATTAGGAAAAATGACATCGGTGAAGTGCCGTAGAGGTTACTCTGGTAGGAATGTGTGAGCTTGCGCGCTTGTCCTGTTCTGTGGCCCTTAGGCTATCTGTGTGTGTCTGCAGATGCCACTTTGTTGAAACTTTAAGGGAAACATCATCTTACCTGCTAGATGATATTTCAGCAAGATCTTTTTATTTATCACTCTGTAATGACAGTTGACAGGCTTATCTGGTGCAACGTTACAAAACCTCTTCAAGCTTAGCTGTAGTCCTAGACACGCCTATCTATGGACGCATATATGTAGGTAAGTGTACACAAATCCATATGTGCGTACTTTCTGCTTAAAGAGAGAATATTCAACAAAGTTAAATGAAACAATTGAACTTTCTTTGACATCAGCAGCCAATCTGAAATCAAAATACTGCCACATTCACAGAAAGGGGGGAGGACACTTTATTCTTAATGTAGTAAAGTGTCATGACTGTAATTTAAAGCTACATCAAAGTGAAAAACAGGGATTTACATGATCACTGCCACGCAAGGACTTTTGCATAATGAGCCATCCTTATTCAGAACTTGCGGGGAAGAAGGAGGGCAGATTTGTCAAGACACCGTTCACCCTGGTGTTGGCTTCCCATTGCTGTGTAACCCAGAGTGATCACAATGCGGAGAACCACCTGAAAATCCTATCTTGTCATGTTGAGCTCAAAGCCTGAAATTCCATTGAATGGCTTCACTACATAACCTCAGCCGATCCTCCTGGGTGCCCAGAATTTCTTACCCTTATCAAGCTGGGAGGCTTTTTGGTAGATTTTCAGCAAGAAGAATGAGCGAAATTGCTTGTGATTAAATTTTCATGGTGAAGAAGGGAACACTCTTAGGATTCCACCACCACCTTTGAAATATTTTGTTCTCAGTTAATAAGTGATTATGCTTAAAGGTTGGGGGAATGTATGCAAATCAAACTGGGTGGCCATTCAGAGCTCAGTCTTTGCAGCGTGCGAGTAGTCTCTCCCTGTTTGATCCCTAATACTAACTGAAAACATATACAACAAATCAAGTCAAGTGATGCACCTTTTATTCACAGCCCCTACATGACTGGATTTCATGTGGCTCTTTGAAGCTAGTCGTACGACACTCCTGCAAGGGAAGGGGTTCACGTTCCCATCTAGGCCTACAGCAAGCCAGAGACAGTGCAGAAAAGGGCATTTGTGAAGAATCCCACCCCCCCACCCCCCCCGTCAGCAGTTTGGGTCTGTTCTCAGACCGACAGGGCCAGAAATACTTCCAAACCACGAAGCCCTTTGGTATTCAGATGATGCCCACAACAGCAGTTTTGCAGCCGCTCTCAGCAAAACCACGTTTGCTGCTCCAGTCCAATCATCCAAATGTAACATTTCCTTTTTCTGTTCATGCCTTTTCCAAACCATTTCCATAACAGCGCAAAACCCTAACCTTCAAAGAAAGCCTTGATCGAGGGGGGAGAGAGTCACTTCCCACTCCGCTGAGGCGCAGCAGAGTCAGAAGACAATCTCCAAGAGCAGCAGCAGCTGCCCTGTGGCAGCTGGCTGAGTAAAATGTTATTATAAACTCTGCATGGATCAGAGCTGTGAATTTATAATGGAGATGCTTCCGAAAGCTTCTGTTGTTATTTGCCTCAACAATAGCATAAGGCAAATTTGTTCCCTTTAGTTAAAAGTACCTAGAAAAAGGAAGGACGCCTGGCAAGCCCTCAGCTTCAGCCTGCTGAATCTGGGTTGGAGAGTGTTGCGATGGAGGAGGACCTTCAGCCTCTGAAGATCAGGGGATGTTTCAGTGCCATTTAGGCCAGCTCGGACACTGAAGAGCCAACAAGGGGTGGTTGCGAATGTGCTCCCTGTTTGGCTGGAACAAAACCCAAGGAGGGAGACCTCATCTCCAACATGGCTCAGTAGCAGGTCCCGGCACTGTGCGGCAGACGTGACCTGATTGCTGTGCAAATTATAATGGGCAGAATCAAGGCTGTGTTATTGCAGCACATAGATTCCTGAACTAACTTTGAATTAATTAGCAGAGGCAACCCCAGCGGTCAGACCGCAGCAGCAAACTCACAGCAGCAGCATTAACCCTCCCACTTCCCACCTTCCTCATGCTCCAATTTATGGCTTTAACAGCAGTCTCTGGAGGCAGGTTTTTCTGGGCATGAACTGTACAAACGCACGTGCTTCTTGCACATGAAACAAAAAAGTAGGCAACATGCCAACACGTCCTCGTCCTAAATGTAGCGGCTCTCTGAGCTTTTGCTCCTGCTGTTGCCTAATGGATATGTAGCATTTCCAGTGACAGGACTGGAGATGGGAAGTGTTGGTACAGGGTGAAGAACTGAGAACACAGTGTACTCTTTGCAGCTTTACCCTCTGGTTTAGGTCTCCTCAGAAGAAGGCAGCTTTAGGGAGCAGAAATGTCAATTGTCCTGTTAGAAATGGCTTATTACTGTGTGAAAGAAGTCTGGTTAGAACTGGAGTGTGTCTGGCTGCAAGGAAGTGCTGCCCCAGTTGGGAACAGTAGCACAGACATTTCAGTTAGACACAGGCTCTTGATTTTACCTTTTTTTTCAACACACCATGTGAACTGGGATTCTGCTAGGCCCAGCAGAAAAGGAGGCAGCCTGGCACTGAATGAAGCATCATGGACGTGGTCCCACCACGTGCCACTGATCCCTCCAGGAGAGCTTGCCAAGGGGACATTACCGGAGTAAATCCTGCCCGGCCCCACTCCTATGCCGAGTTTGTGCATCCCTGGTTTTGGAGCTCCAGGAAGAGACATAAAGAAGCTCTACGCTTCAGGGGAAAAAAAAAACCACTCACTTGCATCAGACCACATCCAAGCGGATATATGTGTGGCCACGGTGCGCTCTGTGCCGTAGGGCAGGGAGCGTGGCGGCTTCCCACGTCAGCCCCACGCTGCTCCAGTCTCCCCTCTGCGCTCTGAGCGCTGGTCGGGCAGGCCTGGCTCTCTGTGCATGTAGGTAGCAAATGGGCCAGGCCAGAAAAAATGACGATTGAATGGATATAAATTAGAAGGGCAAGGAAGAAATTCAGGAAATGCACTAGTCAAATTGTCTCAAGGCCTTGAATAGTATTTAAATGAGAACTTTTACTACGCATCTTTTTGAATGCTGTATAGTCCATGAGTCAGTGCTGGTGGGAGTGCTGGGAATCTTTATGCTTCCTTTTATTTATTAAAAGTTGGCCCTCCCTGTCAGAAAACCGTTTAGCACTGGGAACATTTGCACTTCAATCGAATAGAGATTCCAGTGTTTTACCTGTTGCCCCTGAAATTTGTTTCTCTCTTGTAGCCTCCTGTGATTTGATTTCTCTCCTGACAATACTATTTTTTAAACAGAACGTGGGAGCCAGATCTTCAGCTGGTGTAAATCAGTATTGCTCTACTGAAGTCAACGTAACTGTGGCATTTTACACCAGTGAGTGTCTGCCTTGCAGATTCAGCGCTGGAGAAGGTATTAGGGAGAATGGTTATGCTTCTGAATTCATAAATTACAGCAAAACATTTTTTAACAAGCAGGGGTGTGATCCTGCATAACTCAAGCCTCCCTGGCAGCTGATTAGTGACTTCCCTCGTAATCATTAGTGGGATGGTTTAGAGATTATTATTATTATACTGCAAGTCAGTCAGCTGGGCCAGCTAAGGCTTTTCACTCCTCTGGCTGCTAGGGCATGCTATCTTACATGGGCGTGTTGAGGAGAAGTCTGTGTCCCC